GTGGGAGAGGCAACCAATAAATGTGTCTCTCTCAAATCGATGTTTCTCTTTTTCTCTCTCTCCCTTCCACTCTCTCTGAAAAGCAATGGAAAAAATATCCTTGGGTGAGAATTAAAAAAAAAAGTCTTTTATTCATTTTGAGTTTATTTTTGTGTATGGTGTAAGTTGGTGGTCTAGTTTCATTTTTTTTTGTGTGTGTACCTGTCCAATTTTCCCAGCACCATTTATTGAAGAGACTGTCTTTACTCCACTGAATGCTCTTGCCTCCTTTGTCAGATATTAACTGACCATAATGGCATGTGTCTATTTCTGGGTTCTCTGTTCTGTTCTACTGATCTAAATGTTTGTTGTTGTACCAATTCCAGGCTGTTTTGATTACAATGGCTTTGTAGCATAGTTTGATATCCAATAAAGTGATCCCTCCAACTCTGTTTTTCTTTCTCAAAATGGCTTCAGCTATTCAGGGTCTTTTTTGGTTCCATATAAATTTTTGGAATATTTGTTCTAGCTCCATGAAATATGCTGTTGGTATTTTAAGAGGAATTGCATTGAATCTATAGATTGCTTTGGGCAGTGTGGAATTTTAATGATGTTAATTCTTCTAATCCATGAACATGGTATATTCTTCCACTTGTTTGTATCTTTCTCTATTTTTTCAGTATCCTGTAGTTTTCCGAGTACAGGTCTTTTACATTCTTGGTTAAGTTTATTCCTAGGCATCTTATTTTTTTAGTTGCAATGGTAAATGGTATTTTTTTTTTTTTTTTAGTTTCTCTTTCTGAGAGTTCATTGTTGGTGTATAAGAATGTCATTGATTTCCAGATGTTGATTTTGTATCCAGCTACCTTGCCGAATTCATTTATCAAATTGAGTAGTACTTTGGTGGAGTCTTTAGGGTTTTCTATGTACAATATCATGTCATCTGCGAATAATGACAGTTTTACTTCCTCCTTTCCAATTTGNTTTCTATGTACAATATCATGTCATCTGCGAATAATGACAGTTTTACTTCCTCCTTTCCAGTTTGTATACCTTTTATGTTTTCTTCCTGTCTGATGGCTGTGGCAAGGACTTCCAGTACTATGTTGAATAAGAGTGGTGATAGCAGACACCTGTCTTGTTCCTGTCTTTAAGGGAAATGGTTTTAGTTTTTGACCACTGAGTATGATGTTGACTGTAGGTTTGTCATATATGGCCTTTATTATGTTGAGGTATGTTCCCTCTATTCTGACTTTGCTAAGAGTTTTTATCAGAAATGGGTGCTGGATTTTGTCGAATGCTTTTTCTGCATCTATTGATATGATCATATGATTTTTGTCCGTAATTTTGTTTGTGATGTATCACATTTATTGATTTGCGGATGTTGTACCATCCTTGCATCGCCGGAATAAATCCCACTTGGTCGTGGTGTATGATCTTTTTAATGTATTGCTGGATCGGGTTTGCTAGTATTTTAGTGAGGATTTTAGCATCTATGTTCATCAAGGATATTGGCCTGTACTTTTCTTTCTTTGTAGTGTCTTTATCTGGTTTGGGGATTAGGATCATCAAAAGAGTTTGGGAGTCTTTCCTCCTCTTGAATTTTCTGGGATAGTTTGAGGAGAATAGGTGTTAATTCTTCTGTAAATGTTTGGTAAAACTCGCCTGTAAATCCATCTGGTCCTGGACTTTGGTTTGCTGGGAATTTTTTGATTACTCCTTCAATTTCATTTGTTGTTATTGGCCTATTCAGGTTTTCTGATTCTTCCTGATTCAGTAAGTGGTGAAACCATAAAAATCCTGGAAGAAAACATAGGTAGTAAAGTCACAGACATCTCACGTAGTGAAATTTTCACTGATACATCTCCTGGCACAAGAGAAACAAAGGAAAAAAATAAACAAATGGGATTGCCCAGCAAAAGAAATCACCCTCAAAATACAAAGGAACCCCACGGTCTGGGAGAACATGTTTGCCAAGGACGCATCTGATAGGGGGCTAATTTCCAAAGTGTACAAAGAACTCGTACAACTCAACGAGAGGAAGACAAACAATCCAATTTAAAAATGGGCAAAGGACCCAAATAGATACTTCACCAAAGAGGACATACAGATGGCCAAGAGACACATGCGAAAATGCTCAACGTCGCTAATCCTCAGAGAGATGCAAATTAAAACCACAATGACATATCACTTCACACTTGTCAGAAAGCTACCATCAACAAATCAATAAATGACATGCGCTGGCGAGGGTGTGGAGAAAGGGGAGCCCTAGTGCACTGCTGGTGGGAATGCAGACTGGTGCAGACACTATGGAAAACAGTATGGAGGTTCCTCAAAAAATTAAAAATGGAGCTGCCTTTTGACCCAGTGATCCCACTCCCAGGAATATATCCTAAGAAACCCGAAATGCCAATCAGGAAGAATACATGCAGCCCTATGTTCATAGCGCAATTTACAGTAGCCAAGATCTGGAAACAGCCCAAGTGCCCATCAGTATGTCTCTTATACACATCTAGATGTGTATAAGAGACAGGCACAGATCCAGTCACACTGGAATCGCTGCCATTTGCCATGTGCCATTTGCCATTTGCCCTAGGGGNATTACTCTTTGGCATAGCATGGAGGGACCTGGAGAGTATTGCACTAAGTGAAATAAGCCAGTCAGAGAAAGACAAGTATCACATGATCTCACTCATATGTGGAATCTAAAGAACTTAGTAAACTGATGAACAGAATAGATTCAATGACATGGAAGCATGGATCAGACTGACGAATCTCAGAGGGAAGGTGGGGGTGGGAGGGGGGAGATTAACCAAAGAACTTATATGCATATGTGCAGAACCCATGGACACAGACAATAGTGTGGGGAAGGCCTAGGGTGAGGGTGGGTGTGGGGTGGAAGGGTCAGTGAGGCTAAAAGGAGGGCATCTAACACTTTCAACAATAAAGATCAATCTAAAAAAACTTCCAAAACATTAAAAATGCATATTTACCTTTATTATGCATTTGCTTTGGGTTTACTTTTTCCTTTGTGGTGAATTAGAATCTCCCATCTAAAGCTGTGTTTTATTTTTCCTTGCATAGTCAGTTTAAAACAGTGTCTTTTGGTGCATGAAGGCTCTTTCCTCAGTGTGGGTTACACCATGTTCCTAAAGTGCCCGACTTCTTACGTCACACCGTTTGCCTTAAACTCAGCCTCGCTTGAGAGAAGAAATAAGCGGACGCTGAACTTTCCCTCTGTTATCATCTGCCTTCTAATAGTTTGTCTCATTCACGTTATGATTTTAATATATTTCATTTCTCATGTTTTTGTGTTTTCCTGTCTTTTACTACATAGTGTAGATTTTCTTTTATATTTATTTTCCTGGTCCTTAGGGTAATTTGAAAGAATTATAATTAATTTTTTTTTTTTTAATATATCTTTATTAATTTCAGAGAGAGGAAGGGAAAGGGAGAGAGAGAGATAGAAACATCAATGATGAGAGAGTCATTGATCGGCTGCCTCCTGCACGCTCCTGACTGGGGATCGAACCCGCAACCCGAGCATGTGCCCTGACCGGGAATCGAACCCTGATTGCCTGGATCCTAGGTCGATGCTCAACCGATGAGCCATGCCCGGCTGGGCTAAATTTTAAAAAAAATTTAATTTAAAAATTACAATGGACATGCAATATTATATTAGTTCAGGTGTACAACATAGTGCTTAGACATGTGTAGACCTTATGAAGTGCTCATCCTGATAAGTGTAGTACCCACCTGGCACTATCCTTAGTTTTGCAATATTACTATGTTTTTTTTCAGTTTATGACATAGTGTTTATTTACTTATTTGAACTTTTTTCACCATCACCATTTATCCCCCCATGCCCTCTATATACCGTATATATACATGACTATGTTTTCTATGCTGGACTTTACAGCCCTGTGACTATTCTGTAACTGCCAATCCCTTCACTTTTTTCACTCATCCCCCAACCCCTGCCCTCTGGCAGCTCTTAGTTTGTTCTCTATGAGTTTGTTGAAAGAATTATAATTTTAATTTCAGTTATTTTAGTGGTTAGCTTGTAACTTTTAAAGGATATTCAACATCAGTCTCTATTTTTTTGATTTAGCAACTTTAAAATAAAGCTTCATCTCTTGGCTGTACTGCAGGATGAGGTTATTGGCTGACTTATAGCTCCCGTGTCGTCTTCTAGGATTTTGTTAGAAATTTGTTAGTGGTTGCAGTTCTTGAGCCCATTGACACCTGTCACTCTTTTATGTTACTTAATCCTTTCAGTCACCCTAAATGCGTTGAAGCCCATAGGCCTTAAATGAAGAGCTGAGAGCACAGCTTGATTATAATGCACTAACTTGAATTTAGGTTCAAGTCTTAACACCTGGAATTTACAGATATTACCTTTTAACAACATGTTGTTTTTTTTAATCCTCACCTGGGGATGTGTTTATTGATTTTAGTGAGAGGAAGGGAGAGAGAGACACACACGTTGATGTGCGAGAGAAACGTCGATTGGTTGCTTTTAGTACTTGCCCCGACTGGGGATTGAACCTGCAACTTAGGTATGTGCCCGGACCGGGAATCAAACCTGCAACCTTTTGGTGTATGGGATGACACTCCAACCACTTGAGCCACCTGGCCAGGGCCACAGCATATCTTAAATATATTGTTAGGCTCATCCGGCGTGGCTCAGTGGTTGAGCATTGACCTAGGATCCAGGAGATCTTGGTTCGATTCCCTGTTGGCACATGTCTGGGTTGTGGGCTCGATCCCCAGTGTGGGGTGTGCAGGAAGCAGCCGACCAATGACTTTCTCATCATTGATGTTTCTCTCTGTCTCTCCCTGTCCCTTCCTCTCTCTGAAATCAATAAAGATATATTAAAAAAAAATTCTCTAAATGTATTGTTAGGTTACTTGTGACTGGGTAACTCAGTTCTGAAATGCTTAGGAGCCTGTGATCAGCATCAAGAGTAACGGGGCCCCAGAGAAAACCTAGTCACCTGTCCTCTGGTCGGCTGGCACAGATGCCACGCTCCCCGTATGGCTTCTGCTGGTGAGCTCCCGTCGCCTCCATTTTCCCTCCCTGATCAAGAGAGAAACCCAGGCTCCTCCAGAACCACAAGGGGCCCTCCTCTCCCTCCTCATGATTTTCTCCCTTCCGTGGTTAGAGATTTCCTTTTGTCCCACCGGACGTAGGAGGACAGGAGGTGTCATTACAGCTTGCTTTCACGTCATGCACCTTGTGGATCTGTCTCTGCTAAAGATGCTCATTTAGGGAACTGGGAAAACAGTCCAGCCAGGCCTGTGACTTTTGTTCCAGTCTGCCACAGTTGTCCTTTTATTTCCAAGTGGGTAGTACATTTGCTTCTGTAATTGCTAATCTTCCTTCTGCTCTTGAACGGCTTGCTTTCCACTACTATTTTCATTCCATGCCGTGCATTTTGGTTCCTTGATTTCCTCCTGTTCATTAACTTTCATGCCTCCTCACCCACCACTTGTGCACCAACTCCCCTGAATCCCTGAAACTCCTGCTCTCCATCTGTAAGTACTAATTTGAAAAACCCTGAAACATCCTGAAGCCCAGCCTTCTGTTTGTCCTGCTTCCTTGGGCAAGTTTGATTGCAGCTGCTTTTCCACCGGGAGCCTCTGTTCCCCTCCACCTCTGGTCCTGGTTTCGCTTGTCTCTGCATGTACTTAGGATTCATGGCCAGTCATTTCACTCACTCTTGCTAACTCTCTAAACCAGTGTTTTTCAAACAGCGGTCCAGGGATTTCTGGGTGGTGGTGATTAAATCCCTGGGGCAGAGGAGGTCACCTGTGAAGAGCTTGTGGAATGAGAATAGATTTCTGGCTCAGCCCAGGAATCATAGAGAAGGATCAGTTTAAAGGCTGGCAAGAGAGGGAAGCCAGTGACATTGCCTGGGAGAACAGTCAGATATGGAGAAAGCAGGCTGGGCTGGGAGAACAGTCAGATATGGAGGAAGCAGGCAGGGCCGGGAGAACAGTCGGAGGAGGAGGGAGCACGCAGGGCCTGGAGAACAGTCGGAGGAGGAGGGAGCAGGCAGGGCCAGGAGAACAGTTGGAGGAGGAGGGAGCACATTGCATGTGAGTTGCTGTGTGGAGGTCAAGTGAACTCGTGAAAGTGTAGCTGGGCTGTTGGGCCCTGCTGACCCCTGCCAGGGCATGTGGAGCTGGATGGTGGGTGTGAAGTCAGACTAGTGGTGGGCAGAGTGAGCTGAGGTGGAGTGTGGAGTCGCGAGGTATAGGCTGTGAAGGGCAGGAGAGAGTAGGGTGTCTGGTAGAACCAGGCCTTGGTGCTTCCTGGGGACTCTACCTGCTGGGCTGCAGCATCGGAGAACCAGACTGTGTTGTGCAGCACCTTTGGGCCCCCGGTGCTGCTGGGAGTTCTGGACTGGGTTGGCCTGGACTTTAAGGCTGTGTCTCTCACCTTGCCACTCTTGTCCCTTTTCTCTCTGCTCCACTTAATCCCCCACTCTCCATGAACTTGCCTCCATTTCGTTTCCTTGACAACACAGAAGCCATTAAAAGAGAATGTCTTGGCCTCCACCCCTCCTCTGCTTACCCACCTGCAGCGACATTCAGCTGTCTGACTTCGGCTCCTCTGGCTCCTCTGGCTCCTCCGGCTCCTCCGGCTCCTCCTGCTGCTCCTTCTCACAGGTGGATTTGGTACCTGGCCCTCAGTGTGGGCACATTTCTCAGCAATTCTGTTTTCTCTCTTGCGTCAGCAGTCCTCTCTGCTGGGTGTTCCTGTAACCACTGTGCTTGTTCGTGACTGCACATTCCCCTCAAGCCTCCTCTGCTTCCCGTTATTGTAAAACTCCTGGAAAGTTCTGCCGCTTATATTTGTTTCCATTTCTTTCTTAATGCACTTCGGTCAGGGTTTTGCCTCCACCCCTCTGGATATCTGCCTGTCTTGCTTCCTCTTCTCCCATGACCTCCCTCAGATGTCACCGTGTTGGTGAGGCTTGCCCCTCACCCTGTTGGCACCCTGTTCCCCCACCCAGCCCTCGGCATCATCTGTCACACTGTAGGTTTATGTATTTATTATCTGTCTTGTTATTGGGGTGGAAGCTCAGTGAGGCCTGAACCTGGTTGTGTTCCTGCTGTGTTCTTGGTTCTGAGAAGAGCGCCTGGGGTGTAGTAGCCCACAGTGGGTACCTACTGAGTGAGTGACTTCTAATCACCTTGTCACAGATGTTAATTCCCTTGGGCATCTGATCTGCCCAGTCTGACTTCCACCTCACCCTTCACGGTGTTTTTGCCCAGTCGGTGTTTTTGCCCAGTCGTTCTCTCTGCGCCGCTCTCCCACCTTCTGGGACTTCTGTTCCATTGTAAACAGTGTCCCCTGACTCCCTTTATTTAAATCTTTTCACCAATAACTGCTTTTCCTTCCTGAGCCACCTCCCTCCCTGGAGAGGATTAGGGAGAAGGAGGTGATGGTGTTAACCTCTTACCTGTCAGGGTTCCTGTGGGCTCCAGCATCAGGCCATCTTCCATGCCTTGATTCCGCTCCTTTGAGTAACTGTCAGGTTTGTCTCCTGTCCCTGTCCCACATGTGTCAGGAGAACTCTGACAGGAGGCTCATTGTCGTCTGCTCCACCCTCAGCCTCTCAATCCCTAGATGACACTGTACGGTGGGCGTCCAAGGCCGTTCTCAGTCACGTGCTGTCCACCCTCTTTCAGAAATCCACTAGTGAGTGCTCTGTGGACTTGACTATCACCTGGAATGCTCTTATGTGAGAGTCTTCAGAATCTTTCACTGAGGTCCACAGCACTTATAAGCCGTTATTTCCACCATACCTGGGCTTTGACTGCAATGAGATCTCTTCCTTGACCCCCTCCTTTTTGCCTGTCATGTCCTCAATTTGATAGAAATTAAATAGAATTTAATATTATAGTTTCTTGTTCAACTGGTGTTTATTTTGATAAGTGGTATGTTTATTGAATAATTATTATCACATTAATTAGTGATGCCTCTTGTATGTCTAACCATGTTACATACATTTTCATACAATAGACTGTTTTATCCATCCGTCCGGTATTGCGGTGAGCACCCTCTTTCCATGTGATTGAAGCTTCATGTATGTTTTAATATGTGGTGGGGATGGTGGCCTCACACTGACTTTACTTTTCAGAATCGTTGGTGATGTTCTGTTCTGGTTTTTACACTTCCATATGATTTTAGAAACAATTTGGTCAAATTATGAAAAAAAATCTCCCATCGGGTTTTTTTTCCTCCCTCGGGAATGGTATTAAAACTAGTTCATATAAATTAATATTTCACCCAAACTTTGTATTAGCAAATTATTTAAAATGTTTTTAATAGATTAAGTCCTTTTTTTCTGTAAATACCAAGGATGTATCGTCTATTAAAAAAAAGATATGTGAAAAATGTGACCATTTGTTTTGTTTCAGATATGTTTCCTTCTGTTTGCCATTCTCTACATCGTGTCCTATTTCATCATCACAAGATACAAGAGGAAGTCAGGCAAGTAGAAACTAACGAAAACTTTGACTCTCATGCCCAGTGGTTTTGGCCTGGTGCATGGGCTCCTCAGGCCGTCCATGTGGTGGTGTATTCAGTGTGCCTGTGACTGAGGCAAGCAGTTGCCCAGTACTAAGAGCACTAAAAATAACCTCTGAGGAACCTGACTACTGTAGGGCCATCCTCTCAAACCTGAGCCCTTGTCCGTCACATTCTTAAGCCCAACTAAGAATAGTGCGGGCTCTTCAGTATCCGGGAAATTCCCGAGTTTGTGAGGATATTTGGTTACCTGTGCCTGGCTCTGAATTTGAACATACTCCCCCCCATCCCATCCTTGGCCTGACTGCCAGAACATCTCTCTCTCTCTCAGGTGATACAGAATGTGGAGTCTCCCTAACACCCTATCTTCTAGCATTTCATATATGAAATATATCCTGTCTTGCCAAAGGGACCCACTATGGCTTTATTCTTTTTAAAGAGAACTTTGTGCTGATTAATCAATTCACAGATTTTGTGGCAGGGTTTTCTAAGCACCTAAGCAGTCACCTCACTGCCTTCTGTTAAATGTCAACTGTTTTCTGAAATCACAGGATTTCCTACCTATGATGTTGGGCTAACACTAGGTGCCATATGAATTCTTAGGGATTCTGTATATTAAAGATTCCTTATGTTGTGCTAGCACATCACAGTTGTCAGACTTTTGAAAGCAGTCAGGAAGTCCTCTGCTCCAGTGCATGACTTTAGTGCTCTTCCTTGGCTCTGTGGCTGCCCTGAGATACTCCTTGGGTTCTGTACTCTCAGAAATTTTGCAGACCTGGATCCAAGACAGTATCTTAGCTAGTTTAAAAGATGTTTTGACATCAGGTTTCATAAATTATGGATATAGAAGGAGGGGAGAGGGAGAGAGGCAGGCAGGATGACTGAATGAATGTAAAGCATCATTTTGGGGGAAATTAGGATGAAGACCAGGAAAATTGGTGATTTATTAGGTGCTTTTAGAGTAGTCACAGGGAGTGGCGTTGGGGGTCTAGATGGAGCTGGTAGAGTGTTGAGATAGAATTGAATAGAGCACTCTCTAAGGTTTGATGGTTGATTGGATGTGGGCACAATGGAATAAAAGTTCATTCTGACTATGTTATTTTGTGTCCCTTTGGTTGTAAAGCAATTCTGAGCAGCCTCTAATTAAGAATGGAGAGTAGACTGAGAATGGTCCAAGTGCAGCATTGGTAGCGAGGCAGGTGGGGACCTACAGAGAGAGCCTTTGAGGACAAGCCCAGTTAGGCACTGAGGGGGGAGTATTGTGCAATGTCCTTGTAATTGGGTCAGAGTTTCTTTGGCTGGTAAGTTTACGTGGGAGGACAGGAGGTGGCTGACAGCCAGGAGAGAGGGGTAGGGGCTGAGTGAGCACCAGAAACAACACTTTCTTGTCTGCACTTCGACAGTGATGATAAAGTGTGGTGCATGTGGGACCCAAGGTGGTCAGGGTGGTCCAGGAGCATCCTCATCACTACCACTGCTAATGACAAACTCAGATTACAGAAAAGTACACGAGTCCTAAGATTCTCAGTTTTAATTTTATAACAAACATTTCATTCGCTTTTATCAACCAGAAAATTTCAGTCACTAGCAACTTCATTTACATTGTGTTACAATAAACTTGATAGAGGCCCTAAGGGCCTATTAAGTTTTATTCTCTTGAGCACTGAATCTTTGGAATATTTTAATTTACATGTGGTCATTTTGTTAATAAGGATTTTCAGTTAATCAAAACACTATTCTCTAACCATATGCTATCCTATCTGACTTAATGAAATTTAAACTTAGATCTGTGCTGAAATAATCACAGTGCTGTTTAAAAATTATTTCCATTCAATAATTGCTTCTTTAAATTTATGTATTTGTTTTTCATAAATTAATAAAACGTTTTTTGGAAGATAAAATAACATTACTACCTTAAACATTTTTGCAGATGAGCAAGAAGATGAAGATGCCGTAGTCAACAGGATTTCGTATGTATTTTAAAGCTTCATTATTTTGTTTTTAATTCTGGGGTCATAAATTCTCAAAATTCAATTCTACCCTTTGGGCAGAAATATGGAAAACATTTACCTAAAGTGTTGCAGCACCTTCATCAATATTACTCCTATCCTCAGAAAGCACACATAGGCTTGGGTAATGGCAGGGCAATCACCTCCTGTTACGATTGGCTTACGAGGGATCCAATGGGTTTTATCTTCAGAAGATTTAACCAGGATACGGGGTTCATTCTGGGAAGTGGCTGGGCCCTGAGAAAGCCTCTGGCTGTCTGGGTGGTCTGCTGGGGAGCCTGGGTGCCAGTTTTGGAGGAGGGAGTAGACGTCTACTCTGGTTAACTGATCTCCTGTGAGCAGGGAGGTGGTCCTTTCAGGGCCCCAGAACTCTTTTCCTGCTTATGGTACAGGGTGGAAATACCCTTAATTTTTCTGAGGAATCCAGCGAGATGGAGAGTAGTGGGTTCCTTTATACCAGATTTAGCTCGATGGGAATTTGAAGTCTTGCAGCCATGCCCACTGCGTAGGAGAGAGTCTCTTCCAGGGCCGTTTCCATTGACACTTTGAGCTGTTTTAGAATAGTCCCAAATGTACAGGGAAGTTAGAAATAGGATACAGATTATCTCACGGGGCCCTCGGGGAGAAGTTGTGGACTGGCTGCTCCATTTCCGCTGGGTACCCTTATATCTAATTCCTATAAACTGTGTATTCTGCGAATCCACTGTACAGCCATCCGCATCATGGTCAGCACCGCTGCAGTCCCAGCTGTGCTGCCTCTAGTTCACTAGTTGTACCATTAATGCCCCTTGTAACCAAAGGGTCCAGCTCAGAACCCCTCACATCAGGGAGCAGCGGTGTCCCTGTAGTCACCCACAGACTGAACTCGGCTTCAGTATTTCCATGACTCCCTGACCTTGTCAACACTTCTGCACATTGCAGGCCGGTCATGTGGATTTGTCTGTTGTCCCTTTATGATTAGTGTCCGATTACCCAGCTTCTGCTGAGGTGCTGGGAAAAAGAGAAGAGGGGGAGGAGGGAGAGAGACGGCACATACACAACTCACACACACACACACACACACACACACACATAGCCATGGAGGGGAATGCAGACACCTCCTACCACTGCATGAACCCCAAAATGATGCAGAGTGAGAGGAGCCAGTCACCACAGGTCACATAGTGTCTGATTCCATGCATCAGAAATGTTCAGAATAGGTAAATCCAGCGAAAGCAGGTGGGTGTTCACCAGGGGCCAAGGGGAGGGAAATGGGCGGCTGCTTACTGGGCTTGGGGTTTCACTTTGGGTGACGAGGTTCTGGTTGCACAGCACTGACTCGTTCACATGCAGTGGTTGATTATATGTGAATTCACCTCAGTCAGACAATGGCTTCAACTCACAAATGACTTGATTTGTAACTGAGAAGTGAGTGTGGCAGGACTCTGCTGTCCTGGATTCAGATCTAAATTATTTAAATGCCCAGGGAGCAGCTGTATCTCCACACTGGGCACTCTCCGTATGGCTTTAAAACTTAGGCTCAAACTTTATGGTTTAGCTGGGCAGGATTAGGGATCTTGTGTCTTAGTCCCAGCAGAGTGATGTTTGGGAACATTCTCTGTCTCAGTTACTGCCCCTGGGGAAACACATCATACATGTCACTTACTTTAGAGACACAGTGGATCCCAGGCCGACCACAGTGCAGACGGGTTTCCAGCAGAACCCTTGGGTTGAGGTTCCTGTGAGAGGTGTGCTCTCTCCTGTGCACCTTGTCTCTAGTCCCCTTCAGTGGTGCAGTTACTGAGGTGCATCTGTACATCAATAACTTATAAATAAACAAGAACACGTCACTTTTTTCTTTTTTAAATATATCTTTATTGATTTCAGAGAGAGGAAAGGAGAGGGAGAGAGAGATAGAAACATCAATGATGAGAGAGTCATTGGTGAAGCCTGCAACCCGGGTATGTGCCCTGACCGGGAATACGAACCCTGATCACCTGGATCCTAGGTTGATGCTCAACCGCTGAGCCACGCCCGGCCAGGCTAAGAACACGTCACTTTGGCCATTACCCTTGCAGTATGTTTTAGGAAAATGTGCCGTTTCCTGGTGATGAGGCTCAGGAGCGGCCCCTCCTCTACCTGCTTCAGCCAGGCAGCGCATCCGAGGGGTTGGGTCTTGCCCCCTCCCTTCCTGAGGGAGATGGCTGTGCACTCACTGCAAAGTCAGGGGGGCAGCATGGAGGAGGAGGCCACCCAGTCTGTCCCCCTGGTTCCACCACCCACTGTTCTCTTTGCCTTTCACTGCCTTTTCTTCCTCCCATGATGGACTGAGTGAGAACTCAACCTGGTTCAAATTCTGAACCAAGATTAACCTGAGTCCAGGAGAGATGGAGAAGCAGACTCGTGTTCTCCACATGGGAGCTGATCTGCGCCTGCTGTGTGGTGCTGCTGTTTGGATAAATCTCAATGTACAGAGGCTGTGGTCTCAGGGTCACGTCTTCCTTCCTCCCTCTGCAGGGAGCTCTGGGGCACTGAGGGGGGAGAGGCAGGGCGAAAGGCTGAGCTTGAGGAGGACATGTAGAGGTGGTCAGTGTTCTGAAAGTTCAGGCAGCTCTGTAGTGTGGGTGACCACAGCCCCGCCTGCATGGAGCCCTCTGCGTCTCCCACCTCGCTCTAGAGCCCACCTTCCCCACCTTCAGTTTCTTGTTCGCTTCTCAGGGGCCTTCGTTCTGCCCTGTCTGTGTCTGTCTCCTCGAGGCCCCAGATTCTCTCTCTCTGCTTTCCCGACCACAATTACACTTCCTGACAGCGACTCTTCGTAGTCACTAGGTTTGAATTGAAGTGTTAATGTGAAAATCAGGGCCTCCTTGGGGAAACTGCCTGTGAGGAGGCCACTGAGCCCACGCAGGGGAGGAAGGTTCCTTGCAGGACAGGGCCTGGCATGGTGTCCGAACCCCGGAGGGTGACCTGATGGGGGCTCTCAGGATTTGAGGGGAAGAAGGGACGTCCCCCTGCAGAGGGAAATCCCAGCATGGGGTGAAGAGGGACACCTCCACGGTTTGGGGGGTGCTATGTCACAGGAAGTCAGAGCCCATGCAGGGTGGGGAGGGCCTCTGTGCAGGACGGCGGAGCCCAAGAGGGATGGCCTGGTGTGGGTGAGAACTCAGGTGGGGAGGGAGGGTGTCCACGAGGCAGGGCAGTCCAAAATGGGGGTCGCCTTATCAGCTGGCATCTCTGCATAGGGTGGGGTGTCAGCATGATGAGAGACTGATCACACACGGGGGTTAGTCCACTAAAGATGATGGGAACCAGTCCCAGACGGGAGGGAGACGCGCAAGAGAACACCAGGTTGTCGCAGTGGAATGGAGGTGTCATGTGGACTCATGGTTTCAGTACAGAGAAAGTTACCAGACCCACGACAGCTGTGAGTGTGGGTGTATGCGTGTACACACAGTGCACATAGGCACCCCTGGGTGGGCCTGGCACTGAGTTCTGGGAGCACACCACCACCAAGAGCAGTGAGTGTCATCAGCACCCAGATCTTTACTTCCGAGCATAGCTTCCCCCTAAAGGGAGCCAGGACTCCTGAGGAAACTGGCTGCAGGGCTGGGTACGAGCGTTCCAGGCTCGTTTCCTCACCTTGTGCTGGGACGTAAGGAATGCTAGAAGATTGAGGGGTGTCAGGAAGGCTCAGCCCTTCCAGGGCTTTCTTGCCAACCAGGAGCAGTCTGAACATCACAGTAATGGTTGTGATGGATGCCACACAGCATGAAGCAGGAGAGCCTGGTCCCATACTGAAGGCAGTCATTGGATGAGCAAATTGTTTGACAAGGAACAGGATATTCTCGCAGTTTCACACTTAGCTTCCCCACAGTACATACTTATGATTAAAGGGAAGTGTGGCTTAGATTGGAGGCCCTGGCAGACCACCTTGACCAGGGATCAGAGAGAACGTGACCAATGGGGCAGACAGAGTCCAGGCTACCTGGAGAGATTGCTTCTGTGACGCACAACTGGATGTGGCGGCTGCACGTGTCCAGAGCTGACTCATTTCGCTCTGGCTGCAGCCTCCACCACAGCTGAGCAAGCTCATCATCTGCATCCTCAGGGTAAACACTTGGAGTCGTCCTTGACCCCCTCTTATCCCACAGTGGGAATCCTGTGGTTCTGTCTAGAAGGGGGCATTTCTGAACTGTCTTCAGCTTCGAGGGCACTTTTCTGTGGTTATAGAAGCGGCCACCACTCTGTCCTTTGCCCTGCCATTCAGGGCCTTACCTTAGGGACCCAGTTCCAGCCCTTACCTCCTCCCCATCAGCTTTTTAGGGGCACTCTCCTCATAGCCACCCCAAGGCAGTCAGGGAGGATGTGTGTCTTTTTTGTGTCTCCAGGGCCAGTCACAACACTGAAGATGCAGTAGGTTGTAGAGTCTTGTTGAAGAGCCCACATCACAGTCTTGGTAGCCGTGTGGTCAGGAATTCTGGGTTGTGTGATTTCAAATACTTTTATGTGTTTGCCCTCAGAAGCTGATGACTCTGTCACATTACAGGTCCCAGGTTTTGATTTGGAGACTGGTTGGCCTTCTTGCTGAGTTTGTGGTCTGAGTGTTGTGGGAGCCAAGAGGAGGGGAAGGGAGGTGCCAAGGGATGCTTCACAGGCCAGTGATGTACAGAGGGACCCTAGTGAGAGCCGACTGTGGCCCAGGCGTGGACCCGTAGGACCCACTGATGTTTGGGGGACAGGAGGTTAGGTGACTGTAACTGTGGACTGTTGTGGCATGAGAGGGGCTTGGAAAAGCCACTGGGTGGCCGTGCGGGCTCTGGTAAGGTGGCTGAATTTGGTCTCAGTTCTGGTATTGGGAGGAAGTGATGGAGCCAACAGGCACTTCCTCACTGACTGTGAGGTCAAGACTGACGGCGCTCGAGTGAGGTCGCTCGAGGTCACCAGCTGGTCACTGCTGAGGTGGGCGGTGGACCTAGACGAGTACTTGTGCTCTGCTTTGACCAGGAAACAGGTCCAGTCAGAGGAGCCTTCAAGGACGTCTCCCGTGTCTGGTTGGGATTTTGTGTTTGGTGTGCATCACATGGTCTCATGTAAAATTGATCAGTGATTTACTGTTCTAAGGTTTCCAGTGGCTTTGGCTCTTAATAGGAAGACACTTCTGTGGGTTGCCACAAGATGGCATTGGCCGCAAGGTTATGCCATTAGATGTGGGTTTTGAATGTTTAATGTGATTTCTCCCCCCTTCTATCGTCTTACATTTTCCCATATTTACTTTAATGGAATGAATATTAAATTAAGTTTCCCTCTCCAATGTTGGTTAGACTCCCGTTTTCTTTGCCATTAAAAAAAATCTTAAAAAAATAGATATAAAAATTTAAACATTTCAGACATGTGACTGAGAGTGAAAGCCCCTTGTAACCACTCTCCCCTGGGATTGTTACCTACTGTGCTAGGTTCTTACCTCTATTGTTCTGTGTGTATATATGTGCTCTTTGTGGGGTGTGTGTGTGTGGCATGTTTTCTGTTTATTGTCTGCGTTTTCCTTCAGTTTCTGTTTTCGACTTGTTTTAGACACCTTTCTAAATTAGTACATATTGGAGATATCTTATTTTAAATGACAAAATAGTGTTTTGAATACTGTTTAATAGTATAACATTGTTTACTAGTATAATTTATTTACACTTTGCCCATTTTAAGGGGTAGCAGACCAGTGGCTTTGTAAGTTTTTCTCCCCGAAATAATTTGTTTTCGTGCTGCTTTCACAAGTATTTTTTCCTCCTGAAACAGTTGTTGCCTTGCGTGTAGCGTAGATTGTCAATGCTGTGAATTAGATGCAGTATGAAATGAACACCTAAAGGTAAAGGAGGGACAGGGCTTAAGTTGACTTTGTGTGCGTGTGAGGCCTTCTGTCTCCAGCACATCGCCCTCGTTAGATCCACTGGTGTCCGCAGAGTGAGGAGTCCTGGAGTTGATCCAGCGTCACTTCCAGGATAACACATATATCATTTGTCTTCAGAATACGTAGATTTCATGATATTCTTCTATAATTCCTTTTAGATGAAAATGTACGAGTTTTTGTTCATTTTGAGTTATGCCCATGCTCCTTGCTTCCAGACCGCTGGTGACACGCCTCTCTTCTCTTCCAGGTTGTTTCTGTGCACGTTCACCCTCGCGGTCTCCGCAGGGGCTGTGCTGCTCTTACCCTTCTCAATCATCAGCAATGAAATCCTGCTTTCCTTTCCTCACAGCTACTACATTCAGTGGTTGAATGGCTCCCTGATCCATGGTTAGTATGTGTCACTTAATTCAGTCACCGTCAGTATTTAATTCGCATGTGCTGCAGTTTAGGTTTCTTTGTTATAGCTGCTTCTTAATGTGCATGTCCTTCAATAAACCACTCGAGTCCTTAATGAAATCGGAAAACCAGGTTTCACGCCCCATCCCTTTCTCCTGTTCGCTGTGAAAGGCTTAATCAGGAGCAGTTTTTATACTGACTGTGATTCTGATGAGTAAATTTTCATTTAAATATTTAGCAGGAGAGTTTTGGTTCATCTGACCATGTCAGGAGAACTCAGGCTCCACTGAAGACCTGAAAAAGGAACCATAGTTTCCATTGTATTTATTTGCTGTTAGTTTCTTTGGCCAGTTCAAAATGTATGAAGAGGGAGGGGCTCTTTTATCAAGTACAAACTTTAAAATGGATGTGGCTTTAAAAATAATGACTGACTTATTATAGGCAACATGGTATGTTACTTTGAAGCCAAATAGACCTGCATTCCAGTCTTACCTGTGTCATTTTCTAGAAATTTTTAGTGAGGTAGGACACTTTAATTTATAACATATATAGAAAGGTCTAATGTGTATATTTTTATATGTTTCATAGTCCCTTCCCTCTCCTTTTTCCTGTGTTGACTTATGTGATCTCTTTGTGTGTCAGACAGCTCTTTTTTATAAATGTTTATAAATGTTTTTTTCTAGTTATTTTGCTTTTGGATTTTGTTTGCTTTTTTCATTTATAGAAGTTTTATATTTTTACGTTGTCCAGTCTTTTTCTTCCTTTGGTTTCTCTAGTTGTTTTTGTGTTTAGAAGATCCTTTCCCTTCCTGAAATGTGACAATTACTCCCTTTTTTCCTCTTTTTAAAGGAAATGGTTTTGTTGCCCCAGCCGGGTGGCTCAGTTGGTTGAGTGTCATCCCATGTACCAAAAGGGTTTCGGGTTCAATTTCAGTTGGGGTGTGTATAGGAGGCAACCGACCCATGTTTCTCTCTCACATTGATGTTTCTCTCTCACGTTGTTGTTTCGCTCTCTCTCTCTCAAAACCAATTAATATATCCTTGGGTGAGGATTAAAAATAATTAAAAAAAAGGTTTTGTTTACAGTTAACTATTTAATTCATCTGGAGATTATACATATACCTTTTCTCTTATCCCTTTGTGTGTGCTAAAGAAATTCATGTTTGTTGTAGAAAATTTGGAAAACAAAATTTGTAGGAAAGAACATTATTATTCACAATCCTATTACATAGAGAGTACTGTGGATACTGTGGCCTGTAGCCTTCCAGTTCTCTGTGGTTGTGAGCACACCAGATGACCAAAGGGAGCCTGTTGTGCTGCTGTTACCTTGTCTCCTCCCTGTTGTGCTTACTGTTACTTTGTTTCCCGCCCTGTTCTCACTGTTACTTTGTCTCCTCCCCCTGCTCACGGTCACTTTGTGTCCTTCCCCATTCACATATGGGGGATTCCCTGAGGGTCAGTAGTTTTCTACACTGTTGCAGTATTAACTAGAGCCATTATAATCATGGATTGTTCCCAAGTTTTTAATTAGAAAGCTACATTGTCCATCTTTATAAATAAATATTTGTGCTTAGGATAAATTCATGCAGCTTACTTTCCAGGGAAGCATACTTCACAAGTTTTTGAAAATGGCTTTGTTGCCCCAGCTGGTGGCTCAGTTGGTTGAGTGTCATCCTATACACTAAAAGGGTTGCGGGTTCAATTCCAGTTGGGGCATGTATAGGAGGCAACTGATTGATGTTTCTCTCAATATCTTGAAAAGGTATTTCTCCATATTCCTCAGAAAAACTGTATGAATTTTGCGGGCAGTTTGGCTTTCATGGGCAGGATGCAAGTCTCCATTCCCAGGATGTGTCTTTACCCACTTTGGTTGTTGGTTAAAACAAAACCTACCAATTCAATAGATGAGAAATTTCCTCTTTAAATTTACATTTCTTTAGTTACTTGTGCAGATGGAGATTTACAAAGCACCTTTATAGTTCACTCATATTTATTTTTTAGTAAATTGCCTACCTGTATTCTCTTTACCCATTAAAAAAGTTTTTTTTTTTATTTTCACCTGAGGATATTTTTCCAGTGCTTTATAGAGAGAGTGGAAGGGGGAGAGAGAGAGAGAGAGTGAGAGAGACACATGGATTGGCTGCCTCCTGCACACACCCTGACTGGGGCTGGGGATTGAGCCTAACAACCGAGGTACATGCCCTTAGCCCAGATTGAACCCAGGACCCTTCAAACCCAGGGCCAGTGCTCTCACCAGAGACAAGCTGGCCAGGGCTTCTCTTTACCCGTTTTTGCAGTGTTTTATTTTAAGTAATTTGCTGTCTGTCAGGTTAATTGCAGGTATTCTTCTCCCAGTTGCCCTTTAATATTGCTTAAGCTTATCATTTTAGTTTCCTCTCTAATGTCAGTGAGGCTCCTGTTTGTGATGAAAGGTGATAGATTGCTAGCTTCACAGTTTTGTATAGTGTATTTTGAACTATTTTGTGAGTCCAGCAGGTGGAGCTAGAAGTCAGTGCATCCTGTGGTGACCTGGCGTTCCGTCTAGTGTGGTTTAGTTTGGTTTTAAACTGAGTATTTGGGGATTATTAAATAATCTTTGTTTAAATTCAGATGCTTCTTTCAGGGATAGGCATTGGCTGTCTTTCAAAAAGGTTGTCACTGATACTGATTTAGACAAACTATGATGATTCTGAATTTTTAAGATTCTACTACTGTATTGGAGCATGTAACTTTAACTTTCTGAAGTGGAGGGATTTGACTAATATTTTTTATTATTTTACAAGTTGATATGTAATAAAATAAAGGCAGTGATAGCATGCTATGTGTATTAGTACTAATTTTTAATTTAGGAATGTTTTATCAAAGTTACAGAATATTTGTAGGAACATTTATGTGTGTATGTCTGACTATGTTTGTAAGATGCTGGAAATGTACTAAGTCTTTTTTTCTGTTTTTTAATATATCTTTATCGATTTCAGAGAGAAATTTTTAGACGATTGCTAAGAATATAATTACTATTTAGGAATGTATGACAGGTCTGTTATTTTTCTGTGTATTATATGTTCTCACAATAACTTTATATTGCAAACTCAATAACTGTCTAAGACTTTCACATTTATTTATTCTGGTTAATGAACTTTAATGTTTTTCATTTAATTACTTGGGACTTTGAAAAAAGCTTTTTATGTGGATGATTGTCCTGTTAGGAAGGATAAAATAATCAATTCTCAAATCCTTTGGGTTAAGTGAGTATTTCTTGCAATACTCGGTGGGGCCGTGCTGAAGACGCGCAGGTGACTGTGTTTGCGGACACAGCGCGCACCTAGACAGCCCGCACGCGCAGCCCACGGCGCCCCTGGGCGCCCGCCCGGCCCGGCCCAGGCTCCGGGCTTGCAGCCCGTATTAGGGTAAAACGATGCCGGCGGAGACGCGACGAAGCAAATGCGAGCGTGAGAGGCTGCCGCGGCCTCACACAGCTGCTGTTTTACAGCAGGCTTTTTACTTAAATGTTGAAAGAGCGCGCTCTCAACTAGCAGCAAGAGCATGGCCAGCGCGAGCGGCGCTGCGGCCGTGCGCCATCACCAGGACACGCCCTGGGCGCGGGCGCCGTCGGTGTGTGCCCGCCAGAGCCGCGGGACGCGGG